CCCGAATAGAATTCCTCATCTCCACTCGCAGGGAAAAAAAAAACAAATTCCTGACTGCAAGTACCAGAAACTTCATGAATGAACGGGCAAAGGTGCGCGTGCAATGGCGCTGAGGCGTCATGGCGCTCCCAGAGTGCATTTCACTCATTGNGGCTGCTGCCACGCCGTCAAACTCGATTTCAGGGACTTGTTTCCAATGCCAATGCGTGATTCTTCTCACTTCTGAGTATGCTAAAATATGCGACAGTTTCTACCCATTAGGTGGTTTCAGAGAGGGCGTCGCACCGCTCAGGTCCGCTACTGTATAGACCAGTTTGACACATTGTAGTATAGTAAACACATGTTGGAACTGCGAGTGGCTTTTCCTCCCTCCTTCCAGGATTTTTCGTGCATGTGTATATCAATAAATGTATGAGTATGCGTAGGCGTCTCTTGGGTTGAGTCGCGTGCCGTTCGCACCTCTACCAGTGCTGGAAGTCAACCTGGCGCGTGGCATCCCTCCCACTTCAGCTGGGACCTGATGTATCCCTTTCTCTCTTATTATTATTCCATGCGGAGGGTTGAGCCCTCGCACTTGCATCTGGAAAGGTTTTTTTTCTCTCTTCTTTTTTCTTTTCATTGTTGAGGGAATTATTTCGGGAGCATTGTTCGGGGGGNGGGGGGGGATGGGGAGCACCTGACAATGAGCCCTAGAATTTATACTATTTGACCTATATTGAGCGTGACCTTGAGAGGTCATTCCCTCGTAATTAACCCCACGGGATACCCGGGGGGTTCGATCGGTCGGGATTTGTCGTTTCGATCGCCAGCGGTGTGTGGGGGGTTTTGATGATTGTGGGCAGGTCTGTATGTACCTGTCATTTTAACATACTGTACACTGTGTACTGTGATTTTCAGCCATCTCGCGTCAGGACACTGCACTCACTTGCCATCTGATCGCATTTGTACTGCCATTCATCCAATCCGAACAAAAGACAGGACAAAAGCGGGGTTGTTGTTATGTTGTACATGGTAAATGTGTGTGTACACCTTGCAACTGGTACGATGTACACAATTTTTTTTTCTGTTATTGTTGGGGGTACTTACGGTCATTCATGAGGGGGGCTGGACAATTCGTTTGTCGACAATGACTTTGACTCAATTATATTTGTGGGAGCTGTAAATAGTATTTTTTTGCTCCGATTACGCGCTTGTTTGTAAACAAAAAAATTGGAGCAAGGGGGAAGGGAATGGGGGATGCACAGGTTAATTTGGATCTTTAATTAATTATGATTTCTTTGTTGATAATCACGTCAACAATTTTTTTTGTAAATAAATAAATAAATCGGAGCAAAGGGGGTCGGGAAATAAATTGGGGGGTGGTCAGGCGGATTTGGACTTGAATTAATTGTAAATATTTTTTTATTGTTGATAATTAAATAAGTAACTTTTTTAAATAAATAAACAAGTCGGAGCAACGAGGCTCAGGAAGTAAATGAGGGAATGCACAGGTGCATTTGGTCTTGAATTAATTATGATTTTTTTGTGGACAATGAGGTGAACAATATTTTTTATAAATAAATAGGGGAGGGTGGGGTAAAATGGACACTTTTGATATTTAAAGAAATATTTATAACTCAGAGACAGATTTATCAATTGAAACCAGTTTAGGCTCAACACAAAGGGAAATAATTGTTCTTTTTATTAAAAAAATTAAAAAAATTTAAAAAAACATTTCACCAACAATTCAACCTGTCATTAACATTTTTAAAAAAGTCACAAGTGTCCTTTTTACCCCACTCTCCCCTAAATAAATGAATAAATTGGAGCAAAAGGGGTCAGAAGTAAATTAGAGGGTGGACAGGTGAATTTGGTTCTTGAATTAATTATGATTTTTTTGTTGACAATGAGGTGGACAATATTTCTTGTAAATAAATAAATAAACAAATCGGAGCAACGAAGTACAGAAAGCGAATGAGGGGATGCACAGGTGTATTTGGTTTCGAATGAATTGTGATTTTTTTTTGTTGACAATGGAGGTCAACAATATTTTTTGTAAATAAATAAATAAACAAATCGGAGCAACGAGGCACAGGAAGCGAATGAGGGGATGCATAAGTACATTTGGTTTTGAATGAACTATGATTTTTTTTGTTCACAATCAAGTCAACAATATTTTTGGTAAATAAAGAAATAAAAAATCGGAACAAAGGGGGTCAGAAGTAAATTAGGGTGGTGAACAGGTGAATTTGGGCTTAAATTGAATGTAAATAATTGTTTATTGTTGACAATTAAACGAGCAACATTTTTTTTAATAAAAAAATGAATCGGAGCAAGGAGGTTCAGGTGCAAGCGAATGAGGGGATGCACAGGTGAATTTGGATTTTAATTAATTGTAAATAACTTTATATTGTTAGTAATGAAAATCAACAATACTCTCTTTTTATTTTGATAAATAAAACACAAAACAGAACAAGGGGGATTAAACATTAGAATAAGGTAATACGCAAGTTAGTAGACATTAATAAATTGTAAATATTTTTTCATTGTTGAAAATTAAAATTAACATTTGTTTTTTTTTTAAATCAAATCGGAGTAAGAAGGCTCAGGAAATAAATTAGGGGGTGGACAGTTGGATTTGGATTTGAATGAATTGTTAATAATTTTTTATTGTTGATAATTAAACAAGCAACATTTTTTTTATAAATAAACAAATCGGAGCAAGAAGGCTCAGGACGTAAATTGGGAGGTGCACAGATGAATTTGGACTTGAATTAATTGTAAATAATTTTTTATTGTTGATAATGAAAATCAACAATGTTGTTTTTTCTTTAGAAATAAAACACAAAATAGAGCAAATGGGGTTGGAAATTAGAATAAGGTAATGCACAAGTGAGTGTAGACATTAATAAATTGTAAATATTTTTTCATTGTTGATAATAAAAATCAGTAGCATTTTTTTTTTTAATCAAATCGGAGCAAGGAGGTTCAGGAAGTAAATTAGAGGATGCGCACGTGAATTTAGTATTGAACTAATTGAAAATAATTGTTTAGTATTAATACTGAAAATTAACTTTTTTTTATAAGCCACACATGGGGTTAGAAATTAAAATAGGGTAGTGTAAAAGTAAATAGTGTTGACTGAATTACATTTTTTGCTGACAACGAAGGTCAATATTTTTTTATTACCAAAAAACAAATCCGAGCAAACGGACCACAAAGTTAATTAGGAGTTGCACAAGTAAATGTGGACTCGAATTAATTATAAATAATTGTTTACTGCTGACAACGGAAATCAACAATTTTTTTTCTATAAATAAAAGTTGCTCCGAATCGGAGCAAATGGGATTAGAAATTAAATTAGGGTATTATAACGGTGCATGTGTATCTGAATTAATTCCAACTAATTTTTAATTGTTGATAATGAAAATTCATTTATTTTATTTTCATTAATAAAATACAAATCGAAACAAATGGGATTCGAAATTGAATTAGGGTGTTGAATTAGCTGAATGTGGACTCAAATCAATTGTAAACAAAAAATTATTAATTACAACGAAATCAACAATATATTTTCTCATAAACAAAAGAAAAATTACCAAGCAAATGGGGTTAGAAACTTACTAGAAGTGATCCACAAATGAATTAGCGCTCAAATTAATTGTAAGTAATTTTTTATAGTTGACAAACAAGATCAATAATATTATTTTTATAAGGGAGAGTGGGGTAAAACGGCCCCTTTTGATTTTTTCAAAAATGTTAACAGCTCATTCAATTTTAAATGAAATGGAATAATTTTTTTTCCATAGAAACTACACTTCTTCCCCTTTCGAATGAGCCTAGACTCCTCTCAATTAATGAATTTGTTTCTGAGTTATGAGTATCACAAAAAAAGTCGAAAGGGGCGGTTTTACCCCACTCTCCCTTAAAAAAAAAATTGGCGCACATGATTAAAACTTAACGAGTTAAATTAAGGCGCTACACAGGTGAAAATGTGCTCGAATTGACTCTAAACAATATCTTATTATTAACAATGAAAAAGTCACCAATAGATTTTTCAAATAAAACAACAATGAAAACCCCAAATGGGGTTAGAAATGGTCTGAAAAAAATCTCCACCTAAGGCCGCCCTCAAATGAACGAAAAAAATTTTTATTCACCAAAAAGCCCCAGCCACACTTCCAAAAATTCATCACCCCGAAACTCCTCCATCCACCTGCGTTAAAAAAACTTATCCTCCCCCACATCAAGTATAAATGTCCATAGGAAACGCCAGCAATCAAGATATCGACCAACAATAAACTCCCGTCAAACAGCTCAGCCGCCTATCAACAATAAGCGCTAATAAATACTTACAGTAGCACTAATAAACCAACATGCCCCGCAGTATACAGATACAGAAATACGTAAAATCAGAGTATAGGACAATGACCGTGACTTTGTTTGGATAATCTGTACCCCCGGTCGACGTGATTTCAGTGTAAACGAATATTCCGTGCTGTTAGTCGCAGCGTTCGTGGCCTCGCGGTCCAACCAGCCAATGACTCCCCCCCTAATTCCCGATCACGTGGCCCAACTGACCAATGAGATAGTCCGACTGTAGTGCCGTCCATCCAATGGTGCTGCACTCGAGGGATATTCTGACAAGCGTAGAAAAACTTGTCGTCAACAGCGCGGCCGCCATTTTACGTTAGCCGATTACTCGCGCGGTGCGGAACCCCATCGGCAGATCCTGGCAGATCGCATACCGTGTTGTAATATCAGTGGCCGATCGTCTGCACGGCAGCGTTTGCCGTGACGTGATCCCACTTGTGCCGTATTATCATAATATTAAAAGAGGGTTAATGTGTGGGATGATAAAAGTTGACGATTTGTCGTTGTCGTCCGCGTCGATTTCGCGCGCCCATTAGAGAGACCAACAGGAGTGAGAGAGGTGTAGGGGGAAAAAAAAAGAGAGAAAAAAGGAGGAGAGGGCCCCCACGGAGGAGGAGATAGTTAAGATGGTGCCAGCGGACCTCGGGTGCGTTATCGTCGCTGCTTACTGCTAGAGAGCAAGAGCGGCGTGCGCCCAGCCAGTGTGACACGGTGTGTTGATCGGTGCGCGCGGTGTTATTCATTGTCGTCATAAGAAAGTTGTATTCGCGCCGTTTCATCAGTCCTGAGACGACTCGAGAGTTACCGAAAGTGGATGAAAAATCAAAAAATCATCAGTGAATTTAATGAAAAAACACCCAGGGTGACGATACCGTTGAAACTAGTGGGGATAAATTCACACTCAACTGCCGGAATTCAAGTGATTTTCCTCTTCTTTTTTCTTCTTCAAAGCCTAGGTGTAAAAATTTTCTAGTGTATGTGTGTGTGGGAGTGTGAGTGTTGATCTTGTAGAAGAGCCATCGCGTCGAAGCAGCGTTGCCCGCCGCCGAGATCCTCGCGGCGTCACGAGCGCCCCAGTGGTGGCTCAGCGGCTGTTGTACGCGGCTCTCGCACGCGCCCCCGAGTGAAACGTCGTCCTCGTAGACAACTACCTCCATTGTCGTCGTACCACTGCTGCCTTCTTCACAAGTTGTTTGTGTTATTGTTGTGGTGAACAAATTTATCGAACCCATTGTACTTGGAGTTATTAACGAACAGTGAGTGTGTGTGGGTGTCTGTGCACTCGTGTGATTCGACATTTTGGGGGATTTTTTTTTCCATTTTTTTTTTCTCTTCCGTTCGTTCCTCGTTAATTGTCAAAGTGCTCTGGAGCCATCACCAGCTGTAGCGATCGCCGTCGTAGCCTCTTGTCGCGGTAGTGGCTGCGGGGAGGATTGCTTTTGGCATATCTGTGGGCCCCACATAATCGTTCCCACAAATCCATCGAGGATGCCCGATGGCTGATGCCGCGGCAAAGCGTGTACGAGGACGCTTCGCGCGCCGCACTTATTCACATCATTGTTATTATCACCAATCGAGTTATGAGAGTAACGCGGTGAGAGATCAACTCCATCGCGTGTCATCACCTTGTTCAACTACATCTCATTACATTTATTATTCGTCGTTGTCGTCGCGGCGGCCCAAGGATTAATATATCAGTGAACAACTTATTGTCTGCGTACAGCATCTTCAAGATTAATCTGAGACATGGCAGATCACCTAGTTGACGGGCCGCCTAATAAGCGACCCAAACTGGGAGATGGGTTTCAGGGACCCTCCGATTCAGCCGGTGAGCCATGTTAACTTGCATTTTTAGACACTTTTCACTACCTTGAGATGGTTTATTGATATTAGTGAGGTGTTTTTTAACTGG